GTCACCTCCTCGTTAGGCAAACATTTGCCAGTAGCGCTCAAGTTATTCTATAGTGTGTCTTTTCAATACGATTTGTGCTTCATTTCTGACTTTGCCTCTTTTGTACACCAAATATTTCAACCAATTTGACTTTCAGACTAACACCCAGTACATTCTACATCCTGGCTCATGCCTTTTACATTATCTGAAATAATATATTTCCTCACTACTTGTATCTGAAAATATCTACTATCTCTCACTGTACATTTGAGATGTGACCTCTTGTATGAAGCTGTCTCTGATTCTTCCAGCAGTAATACCCAGCTGACATTTACATCTTGCTTAATACCATACCATCGAATATTGAATTTCCAATATGACAGTCACATTTGAAATTATCTCGAACTTTCTTCTAGGGAAATGTTAGCTTTTCTTGGATAACAGCTTCTTAAAATTAGGGAGTAATCTTTATAACCCATGTAGTACCTAACCATAAAATAAATATTAAATAGATATTTATTAACTGATACTCAAGAGGAACATTTATATACATCAATGAATGCTTTATCATATGTTGATGAAAGATCACCATTCATTACTTTTGTTCTTGGTACATGCTAAATATGTGCTCTACCATTGAGCTATACTGTACACCCAAAGATTTTTTAAATTCCATTTCTCAGATAATTGTAATAATTAGAGTCTAAAAACACAAATAGTATTATAATGTTGAAATGGTGAAGTAGAGTTTAATAGGGGTTGGTGGGAATATCACAATTTAAAGAAACAAAAGGGATAATCATTCCAGGAAGAAAGTTAACAGACATAAAATATGAAATGGCTCAGTGGTGACAAAATAACATGATGATTATTTGGGGAAAATATTTAGATATATTTGTTTTTCAAGATCTGAAAGCATTCCAAAATATATATTTATTTTCATGACAGAGAAGAGAAAAAAGCAATTGATGACATTTTAATTTGGAGTTTTGCTCAATTAATTACCGGGATTTAAAAAAAATGGATTGTCTTTTACCATTATAACAAGGAAAAGGTCAGCTCAAAAATAATGGAAAGATGGATGCCAAAAATGAAGACTTTTAGTTTTAGAATGTTGTTACATAAGTTATTAGGAAGTGTTCATGTTTTAAATTTACCCAGTTAGGTTTAAGACCTTAGGCAATCCACTCTTGGASCTCTGTAAATACATGTAATTAAGCAGACTTTAAGACCTCTTCCAGATTAGACATATTTACATCAGTAAATATGAAAAATGGAGACAGATGGATAGGTGTAGGCAACAATGGGCAAGAAGATCTGGTAGATCTTGAGGCAAGATTGAGGATAAAGTAGAATATTGCTGATCATAATGAATAAAACATCACTCTAGAAATTTAGGCAGATGTTATTAGCACTATATTATCCTCTGAGGATTCATATACCTGGGTTTGATTTTTTAGTAAACTGGGTAATTTTTATCTGTGATATTTGTGATTGCAAAGTATCCTATTGACATATTTCTTGTGGCTTAGTCTTTCTTTCTTTAAAAATAATCATAGGACTATACATAGTAAGATTTTTGTGTTTATATTTTAAAGAGGTAATTGTTATGGATAAAGGAAAAAGTATGAATTTTATAGCTTCTTGAGCAAATCATACATTTTGGCTAATATTAATCCTGTTTCCTTTGACATATCATCAAGGGAGCTGACAGGTAATATTATACCCATCTATTGAGGCACAGAGGCAGTTATTGATGTGATTATGGGGCAGAATTTTGAAGAGGCTGAATAAGAACAAAGAAGGTGACTACAATAGACTTCAAGTCTCTTGTCTTAAAAATTTTCAGTGTTTTTTTCCAAAACATAGCTGGATATATTACATTTCTTTACAGTGGATACGTTCTAAAACACATTTCTGTTTTCTAAAAAAAAAAAAAAAAAAATGGTAGAACTGAAGAAATACAAGGCTGAAATAGACACAGTCCACTTAACCCAGAAAGGACCCTCCAGCATTAATTTAGGGCTAGGAGGAAGTGGTCTATAGCAGAGGTGGAGAGGACAGCAGATTTGGAAGGTCACAGGGAAGCTTCCATTGGTAATGTTCTCAAAAGTTCCACCTGAGAAGCTAGGAGTAAAGTGGAATGTGACTTTTAGTTCCATCCCTCCAAATACTGAAAAGACATTTAAATCCTCTTCGAATATTCTTGGATGCATTGGAAAAAGTTATAACAATATATGGAAACAAAATTCATAATTGGTGATTTAGGTTATGAGAAGAAGAGATTATGGGGGTAGAAAAGATGATGGGATGAGACAGACATCATTACCCTAAGTACATATACAAAGACATGAATGGTGTGACTCTACTTTGTGTACAACTAAAGATATGAAAAATTGTGCTCTAYATGTGTAATATGAATTGTAATGCATTCTGCTGTCATATATAACAAATTAAAAGAAAAAAAAGAGAAAAAATGGCAAGTGTAATATGTAGAACACCTACTTAGAGCTATTTAAGAAAAATCTTTGTCTGGATTTCTTATTTTAGGAATCAGATACCAGATATCAATATTAGTATCTACAAACCTAGGAAGATCTTTAACTCCAAATTTTATAAAATAACACAGATTTATTTGTGGTGATCAAGCTAATACTCCAAAATGAGCGCTGTTACACAGTTCACCTTAACTGCATGTAAAATATTTGAAGATAGTAATTATAACAGAGTTTCTTTTTTTTTTAAATGAAAAAGATAGGGAAAACTTAATTTTAGCAAGGCATGATGGTGCAATTCTGTTATACCAGTGACTTTAAGGGGATCTCAATTTCGAGGCCAGCCTCTTCAACTTAGAGAAAGTCCATCTCAAGATAAATAAATTAATTAAAAGGGAACTTGGGTGTGTTCAGTGGTGGAGTACCCTGGGTTTAGTCCCCAGTACTGCACAAACAAAACAAAACTGAAACCTTCATCTCAGGTGGAGATCCTGAATCTGATCTGGGCTGCCTTGTTTCTTGTCTCAGATATTCTACTTGTTTCTGGAATGTCTGTGTCTTGCTTTAGATTCCTAATTACTAATTGAAAGTCTTTGCTTGTGTACTCCTTTTCAAAATGCCATCTTCGTGTACTGTGGGTTTATTTCTTCAATTTGCTCACCAAAATTCTGGCTGCAAATTGAGTCTTTCTGTCCTGCTTGTCCCCTAATTTGACACTGTGTAGTGATGAATGGACTACAGCTGTGTTCATGTAGTGGATGTTAAACCCCCTTCCGAGCTGCATTCTTCGGCATAGAGTAGGAGGTCTGTGCAGATTCTCACTGTTGTAGAATTATGATGTTTCTTGTGCAACACACACACACACATACACACACACACACACACACGTGTCTTTCAATAATTAAGCTGCATCTTAGAATTCACTAGTTACTTGCTTAATGACAAGCAGTGTGTAGTTTGCATGATGATTATGTGAAAAAAAAAATCCAAACACATACACACAAAAGAAATGTTAATGGTTATTCTCTTAAAATKATAGAATTGTGAATTATTTCTTTCATCATATTTTTCTAGCCTTTTATATATCCTCTAAGTTGCTTTTCACAATAAAGCATGATGTCTGTGAAAAGAAAGGAATAATAACCTGAGCTTCTAAAACCCAAGTTGGTCCTTCAAAAATGGGACAGATMAGGTAAACTGACAAGGGACAAGGATGCCAAAAGAAACAAAGAAAATAAGTAGAATATACTTATTTATGAGACAATCTTTATTTATAGGCATCCCTGTGGAATTGTGTAGGTATTGTATCTCCCCATCTAACTAAAATTTGTAACAAACTCTAAGTAGGGATGCTAAATACAGTTGTGTATTGTCCTTAGGTTGTACATTTGGCCAATCCGTAGCAACTAAAAATGCCTCTTCTAAAACATTACTGTTTCATTATTCAAATGGTACATCTAAGTTTGTTTCTTCTCTTTGGATTTCAAAAGAAAATAATGTGTGTGCTTTCAATGAAAGAAGGATTACTTGTTCTGTACATTTCAGTTGGAAGAGGGATGCTGGAAGAACTACCTTTAATTTTTAAACACATATTCAGTACAACAATTCTCAAGTGGTGATCATCAGATATCTATTTTGCTGGACACAGAAAATACGAATGACTGAATCAATSCTCACACTCAACCCTGAGAAGTCACCTGGGGAACTGTGAAGAAAATAAGCCAAAGTTTTCTGTGCAGTCTCTCCATCTTACTTTATAATATGTATATTGATCTAGGGATTCTATTTAATATTTTACTTGAAGAARCATCCCTCTACTTATTTTCACCTTATTGCTTTTCCCTACATCTCCAGAATTCTTTTCCTTCTTATTCTATTCATTCTTCAAAGCACTCCTCAAATTACACTCACTCCCTTAATAAAGTCTCTTTCATCCTTTGTCACTCATGCTTATCTCCAGCTTTCTGACAGACATCTGAGTTTATGGTCAGTTCCAACATTGTGATTTTTTTTTTGACTACTATGAATGAATTTGTTTCCCTCAGTGTACCACAAATGTCTTTTAGTCCTTACTTAGATGTTACATTTTATAACACATCAATATATTGACTATCCAGCTTACAATACAAAAACATTTTTTTAAAAAAAACTGAAAACACAGCATCTGACTCARTAGAGTGATATTTGCCTCATATGTGCATAGTGAAATGCAGTTTTTGAACCATTGTGGTTCTTTTTTCTCTGCTCCAAGTTTTTGGGACCTAGGAAAGTGTTAGCCCCACTTAACTATTTAATACCTATTTTGGTGATTTAATTTGGGGCTATGTCATCTTTAGCAGTAGAGAGAATTACTGTTCTCAATAGCAGAGTAATTCTCCATTCAGAAAGATCTGTCTTATTCATTCTATCATATTGTACAACAAACAWATAACTTTGGATTTCCTCATATAAGTGTCCTAACAAATGATGAAACCATTTTCCTTATTATTTATAAATTATCATTAGTAACTGTATGTTTTTTTTAAGGTCCTCCTGGACCCCCAGGTGAAAAAGGTGACAGAGGTCCAATTGGAGAGAGTGGTCAGCCTGGCATTCCGGGTCCAATAGGTACGGTCATTATAACTACTCAATCATCTAACATAAGGCTCAGTTGTACATCTATGAACGTGTGCAGGTGGAATAATTATTTTGTGTACTGTGGTTTCTACAAGCGCACATATTGAAGGAGATATTATATGTTCTAGTCAAAATAATCATATATCAGCTGGGTGTGTTGGTGAATGCCTATGCTCTCAGCAACTCAGGAGGCTGAGGCAGAAGGGTCATAAATTCAAAAGCCAGCCTCAGCAAAAGTGAGGCACTAAACAACTCTGTGAGACCCTGTCTCTAAATAAAAATACAAAATAGTGGTGGGGATATGTTTCAGTGGTTAAGTGTCCCTGAGTTTAAGCCCCACAAAATAATCATATATAAATATGTGTGTGTGTGTGTGTGTGTGTATTCCTATCTGAGATTGAATGACAAGAGGTGACTTGATTTTTTAAAACAAAAGTAAGTGCTTTAGCCAGAGTCACTACTGGAATTATTCATGAGTCAAAGGGTGTCATTTCTGTCATGGATAGCAAATAGTATATTGCACAGCTAACTTCAGGTCACATATGAAGAATTTAAAAAATCATCTTTGCATTGCATAAATTTGCAAGATCTTGTTTTTAAGATTTAAAAATATCTTAATATGAGTCAAGGAAAACTTGAGTGTCTTTCTTATGTAATCTTTGACCAGACTATATCTGCTTAAATTCACGAAATGTGAAAGCAAATATTGGCTGGAATGAAGATGGATTTTACCTTTGCTGTTGGCCACTCTCTGTATTTTAGTTACAGCAATATTATTTTACATCATTTCTCTCTATGTTGTAATCTTGAAAGCAATATTTTGAAAGAAGATAATAGAAAACACAGAAAAGGAGAGAGAGCGAGCGAGCGAGCATGCACTTTCTTTGCTCTTAATAAAATGAAAAAAAGAAAATAACAATAGCATGATTGTCCTACTTCACTTGCCTAGAAATCAAACACCCTACATGCTGTTTGAAAGTAGAGAATATACTGCATGGCCTAATTATAACTAGAATGATTTGTGCTGCCAAAATTATCAAAATACCTTGTAATTCATCCTGTTTCTCTGTGTTTTGACAGATCAATGTATCGATTAAMCCTGGTTACATAAGAAAAACATTTTTTTTTAAATTTGACACTTAACTTACCTTTACCATTATGCTTAAAAATCAATATATACAGTTTATATTTTTAAAATATTTTTAAAGACTCTCTCTTGCCACGTTTTATTGTGTGTATCTCGTGTGTGTGTGTGTGTGTGTATGTGTGTGTGTGTGTGTGTGTGTGTACCAGTGGGTTGGTGTTGATGTGCCTTTGAAAGCGATATCAGGTAAGAATTTTTACTCAGAAAGATTCTTCTAGTTGACTAGTGCTCAGCAGATCTTAACAATGGTACATTAATGTCATAAGCAGGGGAAGTTACCAGCTTTATAGCAGCTGCCAGAGCTACTGTTGTCAAGGATCTATCGGCTCCTTTATTACAAACTGCAATGGTCAAAGCTTTATAAATCAACCAAAACCTTTAGTCTGTGCTACAAATTGCTGCTCCGGACTTCATCTTGGGCAGCATCTTTTGCAGCTCATTCTGTGCACACTTAAGACAGAAAGAGGGATTTAAGTTTCCACTTTCATTAATGCCATAGGCAACATCACAAAGCTTTTTGGATTCAGTTAGCCAGGGCTCAGTTTGCTTTAGCTGTTACTGCTTATTTCCACAAATAGGTATTGCCCAGATCTCTCATTAATTAGAATTAGACATAGTTGTTGCTGTGATAAATCAGCTGTTTTAGGCTATCAGATTGTCATTTAGCTTCATTCATGGCAACAAAATTTTTCAAATTATGAAACATCTCTCCTAATGGATTCTTCCAAACTTAATTGCTGTATTCTCTCTAGACTCTGCTAGATTATCTAATTGCTTCAAATCTGACTCTGAGATCAGGAACTAAAGACTGCATGGTAGACAGTCACAAAAATTCTGCTCTATGAATTGAGGAAGTTCATAAAATCCCCTACCTATATGCACTAAACTTAGCTAGACAAAGTCAACACCTACACTCACAACTGTGATATGAATATCTGAGAAATTTAAGTGGTCATCAGCGTGGTCTTAAGTAACCCTATCTATACATCCATTTAAATGCACTAAACTTAGCTAGACAAAGTCAACACCTACACTCACAACCGTGATATGAATATCTGAGAAATTTAAGTGGTCATCAGAGTGGTCTTAACTAACCAATACATCAAATACATCATATTTATTAGTCATGCACTAGAATGGATATTAAAATAAAATATTCTTTAACTCAAAATAATATAATAGAAATTTATTTTAAAGTGCTAATTCCTTGGAAGCACAAAGAAAGTGTGATCTCTCACTTTCACCCGAAAAATTGTATACTGAGCACCTTTTCCATACCTGCAGTTCTGCAATACATTGTGGAGGAAACAGAAATTGTGCTAACTTCACAGAGTTTACAATATGAGTAATTTTATCAGGGAGATAAAAATTTGGTTTRTGGTTATTCTCTCATGACAACAATGCTCAAAGAAGAAACACCTCCTTAGTTTCCAAAGGAAAATTTGTAGGCCAGGTAATGGAATATTTACACTCAGTGGAAAAATAGCAAGGTAGCCTGACCTATAGACACAGGAAGGGGTCCCTCCAAATGATGCTTTGAGAGAAAACTTAAGTCTCCACTGGGCACAAAAGTTTCATCATCCACCAGTGCTATGTATTTTTCTTGCATAGCCTAAGTTTTYGACCATGGGAATCAAGCTCCTGTAGTAGAAAATAGAGTCTACCTTGATTGTGGATGTTGGGAGATGGGAACCATATTTTATTAATATTTATATTCATGTATTTCTCTACTTCCACTCCAACCCTTTTTCCCTGTTGTACTCCAGCAAGGGCTTTCCCTCAGGCTTCAACAAAGACAGAATTCCTAAATACATGTTGAGTAGGGAACTTTGCCAGTTGCAGGCTGTTTCTCTGTGTGCTGAGTATCGAAAGCAGATTTCTTATGGAGGTTAAAGATAGTGTGAATAAATCCAACAATGCCACTAATAATTGTGTACATATTATTAAATATARCTAAATTAGCAGCCTTCACAAAATGTTGGTGAAAATAATGATTTTGTTATGGGAGGAGAGAAAGAATGAAGAGGAGGAGGAGGAGGTGGAGTAAAAGAAGGAGAAGGAAGGCTAACATGAAGTGTTCATTATATGATAGACTCTTTTCTAAGTGTTTTTTATATTTATTACTTCTAGCCATCACATTTGTCTGTGATGGACAGACAAATATAAGCCTATTGAACAGAAGGACAGGGAGGCTAAAATGACTCACTCAAGGTCAATGAACAGCAGATAAATGCCAGAGATAGTATTTGAACCCTAGTGAGCACAATGGCAGAAAGAAGCCTGAATGGAGAGCTGAGAATCCAGAATGTATGTGAGTAATTATCAGGCCAACTTTATGCAAGTGAGTTGATCTCTGAAGTTCTGTGTCATTGCACTTACGTTGTTTGTGAGTTAGAAGCTGGCACAGAATCTTAAAGAAAGTTAGCTGAATGCTACCAGAAAGGCTMAGAGAATCCAGTCTCCTGGAATAAAACTCAACAGTGGAGTTTATGGTTAGGGGCTATATTTCAAACCAACAAGTCACATAACTCTCTCTACCTTATAGAATCTGCTTCAACTTTTCCCATAATGGTCTAAGCATTGATTGATTTCTATGAAAATATCCCATGAGCTTCATTGGGGAGTCTATTTGTTCACTTGTTGAAAAGGTACCATAAATCCAACAGCTGCATYCTGAGTGTTACTGTGCTACAATCAATGAGCCATCATCAGAGAGGTCCCTGCTCTCCTTCTCTRAAGAAGATCCCAAGGCATTGTAGATGACAGCGCTTAGGTTTTCCCAAATTACCTTCTGTATTTATTTGTTGCTTATCTCACCATCTGTCTCTCCCTACTGTGTCACCACATTGGAAGATCTTTTTGGATAAGGATATTTTAAACTCTAAGAATATGCAGAGACTGGCACAGTATGTGTGCTCAATAGATATTTGTTCACTTAATGGAAAAAAAATGGTAGAAATAGGAATTACTTGTGAACAGTACACTATTAAGATTCAGAAAATATTTAATTTTTTTTAAATGAGAGAATTTAGTGTCAGTGCTTCTTTTATTTTTTATTTGTTCTTTTTAGTTATGCATGASAGTAGAGTATATTGTGACATATCATACATACATGGATTATAACTTCCCATTCTGTGGTTGTACATGATGTGAAGTTACGCTGGTCATGTATTCATATATGAACATAGGGAAGTTAGGTCTGATTCCTTCTACTGTCTTTTCTATTCCTATTTTTCCCTTTCCCCCCATTCCCCCATATGCAATTGGTGAACCTCCACTTCTCCCCTGCCCCCTATTGTTAGTCAGTATCCCCTAGCAGATAATAATTGCTAATTCAGAGGTATGACTATAGTGAAGGAAGGTATAAATATATATCAGGTTGCCCTGAGAATATATGTTAGACTTTTTTAGACAGTATGATAAAAAATCCAACCAATATATACTACAAAATATATAGAACATATTATATATATATAATTATGTAAACAAATTAGTATATATTGAGTAATTAAGTTAATTCTTTTAAAACATATGTTTAATTTCTGATGGAATCAAAGTTTTACACTGAGTTGAATATTATTTCTTACTATTTATAATAATATATTTAAACTGAACATTTCTTAGGGACAGCCAAATTTAGGGTGTCTATGTGAATGAATCTCAAGAAATGATTTTTAAAATAAATTAAATATGTATAAATTCTTCCTCCTGAATCCTGTGAACTAAAGGCAATATTCTAAAAAGGTTGATACTAGAGAAAAAAATTAATCAAGCCTCTTTTAATGTGGCTCCCTAAAAGATTCAACTGAAAATTGAATTAATGGAATCTCTATGAATGGATAATTACACTTAAAATAAGAAAATAAGACATAAACTCTTTTATGTTAGTTTGTTTCAATCACTGAACTCTAGGATGAAAAATTTTATTCCAGAAGAATATAATATTTTATTCCATAGGCTTTCATGGCCACCATAGATATGGGGTAAAAATAATGGCCATTTCAATTTTAATTTAAGTATATAAAAGCTTTGACTTATATATGTATATACTATATACCCATGAATAAGTCCGTGTATGTGTGTGTGTGTGTGTGTGTGTTTACATTATATGGGATTATAATGGAATATGTAAGAACATGTCTAAGAGACATGAAGCAGTTAACTGAAGAACTAGTACTCCAATTTTTAAATAAATATCCTTTGATAATTTTCATTGCTTGAGTTTTAATTTTTCTAAGACAAATCTTAAAAATTCAATTATTAGAAAATCATCATTTCAGTTAGAGCAAAATGTGTCATTTAAAAAGATTCCTGATTAATTACATAAACCTTCTAATTAAAACTCCAAGTTTTTTATTGTATGTTTTTACTTCTAACATTATGTTATTTGTTGAATATCTGAAATGTATTAAATGCACTAATGTTTATACCTATTTTATCTTTCAGTGGCACAAGTGAAATTTTAGAAAAGAAACTATCCTCAATTGGAGATTCACTTATTTCATATTCATTTGTAATACCCTCAAAACTATGTAAACAATGAACTGTTAACCACTTTCTTTTTCATTAACCATGCAGGTCCTCCAGGTCTTAAAGGTGATCGGGGGGCAACTGGCTTTCCTGGCACGAGGGGACTCCCAGGATTTACAGGAAAGGCGGGGAGGACAGGTACTTTAATACTGTGCATTATGCTATCAAATATGCAAATAAACATCAGATCATCATTTCTGAAAATTTCTTGGACAGCAAAAAATCACTCATCATAATAGGAATAGTAGCACACACATGTTGTTTATTTTGTGGTCTGAAAATTTTTTGAAGCTGGTTTCTGTCCACCTGAGGAAAGCTTCTGTGTCSTGAAGGAAAATAGTTTAAAAACACATACACACACAAAGGATTTATGCACTCTATACAATCATAAGTCACCATGAAGAATGGTATCTATCTTAGAGCAAACAGAGTGGAAAGACTGGCAAAGAAAAACAAACTAGCAAAATATAAATACCCCTGTAACCACAACTGGCCAAACTCTGTTAAGACACAGTTGGCAAAATGCTGAAATCTTATTTCATGTGCAATAAACTTCTTGCAATATTTATTAATGCTTAATAATCAACACCACAGTTCAGCTCTTTAACATTTATACAAATGATGACAGTATTTCCACCAATGAGGCCAATAGCCTAAGCTTGGACACTGTACTCTGCATAGCAATTTTAGAAGAAAGTAAGCCTAATTTTTTTGTAATATCAGTGTAAATTATTTCCAAGAGAAAAAGATCCATATTGTTGATCTAATTTTTAACATTTTATTTTTAGAGCAGTTTTGGGTTTATAGGAAAATCACACAGAAAACATAGAACTCCAATGTATCACCACACACTTTCCCCCATATTAACATCTTGAATCAGTATGATAAATTTGTAATGATAAATAAACTAGTACTGATACATTATCATTAACTAAAGTCTTACATTAGGGTTCACTGTTTGTGTTTTGCATTTTATGTGTTTTAGCAAGTGTATAGTGTCATGTGTCCATCATTGCCGTATGTCCATCCTACAGTATATTTTCACTGCCCTAAAGATCCCCTATCTTCCATCTGCTCATCACTACCCTCTGCCATGGGCCAAGCCCTTAGAGATCATTGATCTTTATACTATCTCCATAGTTTTGCCTTTTACAGTGTCATACAGCTGGCAACAAGCAGTACGTTGTCTTTTCAGACAAGCTTCCTCCACATAGCAAGATATATTTAAGGTTTCTCTCCATATTTTCATTACCTGTTTGTTCATTTCTCTTTATTATTCAATGATATTGCATTTTATGGATTTATCATAATTGGTTTATCCTTTTACCTAAAGAAATAAATCTTGGTTTCTTCCAAGTTTCAGCAACTATTAATAAAACCACTCAAACCCTTTATTAGCATGTATTTTCATGGACCAAAGTCTACCTAGGAGTATATTTACTGGATTGCAGGGCAAACCTAATTAGTTTTGTAAGAAGCGGCTGAACTGCCTTCTAAAGTGACTCTACTGTTTTTCATTCCTACAATGAATTAAGAATTTCTGTTGTGCCACTTGCTCACTGACATTAGGTATCATCAGTGCTTTGGATTTTAGAAGTTCTAAGAAATGTGTTGCAGTGTTGCTGATGACATCAGTGTATATGACAGCCACAAATAAGCAACCTGTAATTAGTCTCCACTAGAGATGTGATTATCTGAAATGAGTGGTGTGTTTATACTACAAACTACCTCTAAACCATCTACCTTTAATCAGGCTTTTTGGGCAATATAGGAAGAAGTGTGTGTTCATAATTTGTTTAAAATTATCTACAACATTAGGGATCTCATTTCCAATATGGGCAATTTGAATTCAATAGACAAATATATTTAGAACCTTAAATTTGATGCAATTTCAAAGCTACTTATAGTTGCAAGATAATTTAAAATAATTTTGTGAAAAAAGAAGAAATWATTTAACTGTACTGTAAACTTAAAGTAAAAATGAATCTATTTGTCTATGATCCATCTGAAATAGTAATGGTCATTTAGCTTYCCAGGAAAACTCAAAATAAAGTTTTGTTTTGGAATCTTTTTATACTTTCCTAGTTTTATAAAGCTACAAATTAACATTAAAACAAATATCCAAGACATAGCTGTGCAAAAAGACTTTCAAGAATGAKGCAGAGTCTTTTTCTCTTTCCTAATTGTGAAATTAATGCTGAAGTAATGAAATTAAGCAGTATATTATATTATCTTCTCTGTAAAGAATGAGTACTGATTAATTGCATCTTGTTTTAACTCTCTAGACCATTTTTTTCMTTTAATTTCTTAGACTTTTCCTCTTGAACATCTGAAAATTTGGCACTATGACAAATTTAGGTCAAAAAGATAAGAGAGGTTTGGTAGGCTTTGGGTTACTTAATGATTTTTGTTTTGCCAGTTTAATACTACTTGAAATTATTCAATCAAAATTATGAAGTTAATTTAATGATACAGAATAAAATAATAATATGTAAATTAATTCAAAACCAAGAAATTCTCTTTATATTACTCTAATAAGAATAGTTGGGCTTTCATTATATCTTCAAAATAAAATTCAATTGGAAATAATTTGTACATTTTAAGTGCTTCAAGTCTTATACTCATTACCTATTACATTTTTAAAGATTTGGTATATTAGAGGTCAGAAGAAATCTTCTCTAAATGGCAAATAAAGACAAATGTCCAAAACTAAGCACAGATGTAGACAAAATAAACTAGAGAAATCAACAGTTAATCAATAAATTAATATTACAACTTTAAATGAAAATTTTAAAAGTATACCACAAAAATTGAATTGAGATGAAAAGGTCTTTGTCTTTCATTCATTGAGAATAAAACTTCAGGCATCAGATTCTAGCTAAACTATGGGAGATTTTAAAAAAATGGAAATAATAATAGAGGAGCTCCCATCTCTTATGAACAAGTGCTTTACAAATATTGTTACTMATTTTCAAGGCAACTCTCCAATGAAATATTTCTTTTCTTTTTTTTTTAATTTCACAGAAGAATATGCTTTAGCTCTAAAAGTTGAAAGACTGTCTTCAGCCACATTTCTATTAAGTGACAGAGCAGACTAAGTCAATATAGAGGTATTCAAACCATTAGGATCATTCAAAATTCTGTTGTTTTTAAACTACATCCCCTAGTGTCTACATCCCATAATGTATTTTGGATGGAATTATGGAGATTCTTGATTTTGTAGGGGGAAATAAAAAATGCTAACAAAATTTTGATCTTCAGCCAGAAATCATTAGAATCAGTCCTGTGTTTATGCAAGAATGTATTCCTTAGAAGATAGATATATGATGCCTGTTGGAAGAATTAATAATCAAGAGCAGTGCTACTGTCATGAAGTTTCACCATAAAAATCACTTGTTAGTACTAAAGAATGTTTTCCTGAGTATCCCTTAAAAATGTAACTGTGTGTGAATTAGCAAATCATTAGCAAATATCAAGGTCTAGCAATATTTCCAGGTCTATTTAAATCCTTGCCCCCTATAAAATGATAATATTTGTACTACATCTTTATGTAAATGGATGCTGGTTTTTGAAGTCAAAAGTGACCAGCCTAGCGGTTCATATGGTGCACAGACCTTTTTGCCTTCTGTCAGGAACCAGGTTGTCAGAATCTCAACACTCTCAGCGATCCATCCACAGTCTAGTGCTTTGGCTGCTAAGCCAGAAAGGAATGGAAAATGAGATAGGTAAATTATAATAGGAAAAAAAAAACAGGTTTAGGATAAGGTGGAAGRTACTGGGCTTCCCCAGGATGGTAGGGAGGCACAGTCAGATGAAAAGAAAAACATAAGAATGAATAARTACAAAATAAACACATCAGCTTTGCTTGTTTTACAAAAGTGGAATATGCATCAGCTTTGTAACAATTTGAGGTAGTATACCAGGTTTGCAGTAGGTTTTCAAAAGTGATAGCAATTATTATTATTATTAATATCTGCATAATTATTATTTTGCATTATCTATAGATTGCTATASATTGATATTTTAGATTAACTGGTGATGCCCAATCTCCATTTAAAGCAGCATTGTTGGGGCTGGAGGTGCACTCAGTGAGGGTGTGTGCTTAGTACCAAAAAAAAAAAAAAAAAAACAATTTCTTTTTTTTTTTGTTATTGTTTTTTAAAGGAATTCCTGGACAAAAAGGCCAAAAGGGAGAAAAAGGAAGTGGAAGCACATACAGTAAGTTTATAGTTTCTGTATGCATTTTTGTAATCAATAAGATTGTGATATTGGTGGTCTGAGCTTGAGACAAACRTTGAGAAATTCAGCATTGATCCATGGAGAGTCTGTGGAAGCCAGCCACAGTTTTCTACAAATAAAACATGCTAATTGGAGTAAAACAAATAGATGAGATTATGCAACTCTTTCAATCTCATTACCCATTTGTATTCTGTTTTTGTGATGAGTACTATTTTCTAAAAATTCCACATAGAAAATTGTTCAATTCTCAAGTCAATTTCTATCCACTGAGGGAAAATCAAGCTTATGAATAGAAACAATTACAGCCTCCTTACCTACTAAAACTGAGCTAACTGAAACCTTATATGGAGGAATTTAGACAGCCCAAGAACCCTGACAGATTAATTCTCTGAAGGCTGTGTTGGTCAGGGGCTGAGAAGGGTGTTTTGTTTTGTTTTACTGAAACCTTGAAAAGGTCACATTCCATATTCTAGACTTTAAGACCTTCAACAGAATAGATTTAGCAGCTGGGATCTTTGTCAGTGGAATGCAGGCCCCAGGTTGCCAGGTAGAGAATCTATAAAATGGACCTCAAAAAATCAGGTCATCTTATTGTTAAATGAAATGTGCATTATTTCTTGTGTGTCTAGGTGAAAGTTTCATTAATACAATGAAAGGGTTATGAAGAGGAACGAGGCTTCTTTACCATTAGGAGTGCATGTAGTGTGTGTGTGTGTGTGTGTGTGTGTGTGTGTGTGTGTGTGTATGAGAGAGAGAGAGAGAGAGAGAGAGAGAGAGAGAGAGAGAGAGACAGAACAGCTGATGTGAACAGAGTTATAGTCTATTCAGGGGTGCATTTTAGACAGATTATAGCAAATCCTTTGATGTACCAAAATCTTGCAATTTTTAGTTGTAATGCTTGTTTTAAAAAATACCATACCAGTATATCTCTGCTTTCACAAAAAAATGATTTTTAACCTAATACCATGTATGGATGGCACATTTAGACAATGTAGGGTTATGATTGTGAATATCAGCCAATAGCAGGATCTTTCGAAGTTGCACAACTCAGAATATTGTGTATCTCTTAGAGTGTTTGGTATTAGCAACCATTATCATTTTTATGATTACATTAAGATAACGGGAGCATTAGTATATTTTTTGTGTTCTCTTTTTTGTGTATTTTTTCTTTAAGATGGTCACTTTTACACAAAATTTTTCTTATTCTCCTTTGTCCTTTTCCTCCATTTAAGTTCAGTTGAGCTCTTCTTGTCAGTCTCTCTTCCCCAGCTTTATGTGTATCTTTATCTCTACCTTTACTTTTTTTTTGTCTTTATTTTCTTTCCCTGAGGCTTTCTCTGAGCTTCTAAACACTCACTCTAGTTGAGTTTAGAAACTAGGGAACTTATTTATTTATTTATTTTGTCTGTAAACTGAACAGTCACACTGTCTACTGTTACCTGGGGTTATCAAATGGTTGGAAGATTTTTTTCAACTATGTTTGGAAATGATGTCAGTTACAGATTTTTCAGGGCTATTTTGGAGTTTATGTGCGTGCGCACTTTCTTTGACAAAGCCATAGAGGGCTACTTATGTACATATGTGTACATAACCTTCATATTCCTCTCTGTGCCTACCCCAAAGAATATATATAACAAATTCAAAATATTTTGAAAAGGAAGAATCATTTACACGTACATCTAATATAATATGCTCTATATTTTTCATGTTTAAGTTGATGTGTCTGTCATCTGTCTTTGTCACTRTATACGGCTCTCTTTCCTCTGAACAACCACACATTACTCCAATATTCAGCTGTTCCATAATTATCATAATAGAGTCATTCAGTCCCTAATCTTGAACCCTCAATTTTGTTTGGCTTTAATAAATAATGCTAATATTCAACAACTTCGTACATGATATTGTGAGGATAMTTTTTAATATAGGATTTACTCAAAGTAAAATCAATAGTTCAAAGGTTATATGCATATTTTTACAATTTGATTAATTCTAACAAATGGCTTCATAAAGTTGTACMAACTTATGCTGAATAAAAATAACTTGCTCCCCACATAATTAATTAACTGTGGTATATGAAAGGATCATAATGAATTATTTTAATATATATTTGTGTATGTTTCAAACACAATTTAAATGTAATAAAAATAACCATTGATTTCCTCTTTTATGTATATGTCAGGACCAGTACAACTTCCTGATCATATTAGGGGAAGACCCTTTTAAGATCAGGTGGGTTGGGCAGGACACTCTCTGATTCCATCTAATTAAAAGGCCTTTCACTTCTGGACAAGTCATCAACACAACTGACTTCCAAGATCCCTTTTGTGACTCCTCCAAATGACCCTGGTTCCTGTGTCAAGCCTGGCTTCCACTGGCTTCTTCTCCTGATCCTTGGTGCTGATTGGGTCTCCACACTGCCACATTCATGCATTCTCCACTCTCCTACCATCACCCCTATCCCCTTTGCACCCCTTGCCTGACTCTCCCATGCAGTGACTGGTGGGGTGCCCAAGCCCATCCTCAGGTACCAGACCAGCAGCCCTCTGCCATTCACTTTCTTAGTCATGCTAATCCCTCTTTAATTCATCAGATCCTAAAGAGAATTGATCATATGAGAACTGATTATATGTGGTTCTTTAAGTTAAAAACATTATTCTCAACCAAGGTTAGGGATGGCATAGAAGAAAATCTATTCATTCATTCATTCATTCATTCACTTAACATATGTTCACTGTATTCATCCAGAAACAGGATGTAACAACTAGTGAGATAGACATTGTCTCTGGCCTTGCAGAGATAATTGTGCCTGAGAGATTCAGACAAGCCGGCAATTATAACATACTAGAGCTCTATGGGGAAAGAGCAGGACTTTATAAGTGTTCCAAGGAGATAAAGATTCCCTAGAATATTAAAAAATAAATTGATTTAGTTTTCTTAGTTTACCTTCCTTTCTGATCTCCAGCTTATGGCATATTATTTTTCAAGTTTTAAAAAAGTAAGGTAATGTGGAGCTTTGGATAATTTATTCAACACATTTGAACCAAAATGTGTTTCCTTAAATTACCTATTTCAAACAAAAACATCTGACACATGATAAAACAATGCTGAAAAAAAATTTATTACAACAAATCTCTCTGTATTTTAAGCTTTAAGTATAGATTCTGGAGAAAGATAAATATTTTAGTAGAAGTAGAGTTAGTGCCTCTGTACTGAGAAATGTGTGACCACATTTTCACAGCTCTCCTTTTCTTCAAGTTTTAACACACAGCCCCAAGGTTTACACCATTAAGGTTCTTGTAGAATTCCATGTAGTATGTCTATGTGTCTCTCTTCATTTCCTTTCCCTGCCCTTGTTAAATGGCCATGTTAACACCTACCTCACAGGGTTGTTGTGAGGACCATATGAGATATCCTGTGTGTGAAGATGCTCTGTAATATCATAAAGTGCTTTAAAATCATAAGATATGGTTCACAGTGGTCTCTCTGAACAGAAACTGCTGTTCCTCTCTGGTATAATGCAGACATTTTAAATCTGCAGTTGTAATAAGAGAGAAAGCAAAATGTAAATGCAAAGAGCTAAATAAATGTCATGGATGAAGAAAAAATGCTAGAGAATAAGACAAGATTTTATATTAGAGCAATGCAAGTGTGACCAGATCACAAATCAGTGAGTCTGTGTAAAGAGCATTAGTTATAAATAAAAGAAATGACTACACAGAGTGCACACCAGAGGATGGAAGCTGTCAACAGAGATCAGAACAAAATGTCAGGAGAATAAAACAAGTATTCGRACTCTGAAAGACACAGCCTGAGCCCAGGATGCTTCTGTTGAGAACATTATAAGAAGGCAGGAACAAATTAGCGTTTCAATGAAACTGGTTTGTGTCTATTACTGCATGACCCCAGAATCTCCAGGGATGAAAGAAAGGGATGATTAGCCAATTTTTCAGAGTTCTCAGTATCAGCAAACCATCACCATTGAATAGCTAGTTAGTGCAAACATCTAGAGATAAATTGGGCCTCTGTCCATGGTTTAATTTGATGTGATTTCCTATCCCACATTTCACTCGAGGCCGGGTTGAGTGTGGGAGATATCTCCTGCCACCAGGTCTTGATCCACACTGGCTAGAGAATGACCCTGAACCCAGAGATCCTGGGAGGCAGTTCCAGGGGATTCAATTCACGAGTCATTGGATATCACAGACTAAATATAGATTTTTGAGACAAAAAATAGATGCAGTCCAGTCTGAATGCACCCACTTCACCAACTTTATCAATGTACAAAGATAAGGAGTCTATACCAAACCCAAAGGTTGGTCTCAATGAATTTTTCAGTATGTTCTTACCCTAAATGAGAAGAACAAGTGTTTCAGTCAAGTGAAAGAATTCCTACCATTCAATTAAGCACTTTGTGAGGCTCTGTCCTACACAGTCACATTATGGAGGAGTGGTTTGTTAGTATCTTTTACTATGTTTTGCTCAGACCCAATGAGACTATAAGAATTTTGAGTATCTTATTCAGAATCTCATACAAAGAGAAGAAAAATTTATTTGTCTTTGGTTTCACTTCAATTGGGGACTCAGTTCAATCTCAAATTTCTCAAAGCACTCAGATCACTAATTTTAATAATGAACACTTAAGGGCACTGGCTGAACACCCTGTGCTTTTGATACATCACTCTATCTAAATTTCAGAAGAGTGATCAGGGTAAATACTATTAAGATCTCCATTTAATGGATTAAAAACTGAGGCCTACTGCTAATAAGTGGAAGAGCAGAAACTCAAGCCAAATCTATCATTCTCCAAAGTCCCTATGACTTTTATTCAACATCTCACACTAGTTTAAAATATGTGTGTTTGTGTGTGTGTGTGTGTGTGTGTGCATATACACATGAATAAATAGTACAAATATTTAATAGGGAGTCTGTGGAAGGAGGGGAGAGAACAAGATTGGTAATGAGCAGTTGGATTTCCTAGA